CCCCACCCTTCATCGAGTAGCAGCAGAGGCTATGGCCAACACTCTCCCACACACCACACACAACTCACTCGCGCTCACACTCACACCCGTGTTGGTCATAGACCCCGCTAATACCGAGCAGCAGGGGTATCCAGAGGACTATCACAGTCCGTTGGCACTAAGTGCGCCGCAGGCGGCCATGGGGCTTGAACCCACAACCTCCTGAATGCCACTTGCATGCCTAAACAACTGAGCTAGGCCGCTGGATCTGCTTGTGGGGACAAAAACTTTCTGCAAGGCTGGAAAAAACGAAAGTAACAGAGCCTAAAAAAAAAGGCCTGCGGGCCTAGCTCAGTTGGTAAGGCACAGAAGTTGCATTCAGGAGGTCGTGGGTTCAATCACATTGGCCTCACGATGTGCCTGGGCAAGCTTGGTGTTCTACCAGCTAGAGATAACCCGTCGCCCCCCCAAGCCAGCATTGGCAGGACCTTGGCTGATGTTGTTGGCTGCTATGCAGCCACAATATTGGCCATTAGACACAGCCATGTGGGGTTGGGGGGGGGGTAGGGGGAGGTGCAGTGACTGGCCATTGCTCTACGCTAGCACCGCCGACATCGGCAATGCCTGCCCACCCCTCGTCACTGTGATGGTACTGTGATGGTACAGCCTTGCCCTCGCACCACAGCTGTGGTGCCAACCTACCCTGTGGGATGGGGAGGGATCCGGGTTGGTTGGTGTTCCCCCATACTATATATAGAATAGTGAGAGGATGAGATAGATGCGTACTATCAAGAAAAATGAGAGAAGAATATAGCTTACCTTTATTAAAAAAAAACAAAAAACAAAGTAACAGAGCCTCGGTGGGCCACTTGTCGCCCTGTTGTCTCCCCGCCAGTTTCAGGGCGTACTCGCACTAGCACTTTCCAGAACGCACCAGACCGAAATTTCGGCCACACCTGTGTGCATCTGGGCCCAATTCCGGGCAGAAATAAGTGAAAAAGTCCTAGTGTGAGTATGTCCTCAGATCGTCTGTCCAGCCCGACTGGTGGATGGCTCGGCATAGTGCACCACAGCGGTGGGGGATGGAATCTCATGGCGTACTCACGTGTCTGGCCACATTTGAGATCTGACCGGGCAATTGCGTCCAGAGTTAAGCAAAAGCCCTGTGGTGTGTGAGTAATACCATGCCGTGAATGCAGTTTCCTCTTTGAGAAAAATGGGAAAAAAACATATCAGTTTCCGCACTGCAGTTGCGTGCGTGCTTCGCACGCGACGGCTCTTGTTCGGGTCGGAGTCACTGCGGCCGATGTGTCCGAGTCCCACAAGCGGGGTTTAGTGATGCTTTCGAGGTTTTGTCAACGTGGGCACAGTGCAGCAGTGAGATGGTCACATCAGGTGGGAGGAACTGGTGTGTACTAGAGGCCAAGTGTAAATCCCAGCTGATGGGAGCATCGTCCACGTACTGTGTTCTCCCTACAGCGGCCATGTTTTCTCTCTGTGGAGAGCATGAACCGAGCCGTAAGAGCGGGGAGGTTCGTAGTTTCCGAAGTGCGGCCACCGGGGACCATTCAATTCAAACGACGCTGGGCTGGATTTTTTTTTTTTTTTTTAAAGGGCGACGGCCTTGAGATATTATCATTGAGCTGACCGGCCCGAAGCAATTCATTAGTAGTTGGTTTTATTCGTCACGTTCCATCATCTGGATTCGAACACAGGTCTGTATTTCAACAGTTCATGGGTGTACCCACTGAGCTAGGCTCTTGGGTGTACCCACTGGGCTGGATTCAAATCTCTCGGCAGGGAAGTTTTTTTTCTACTCCTGTCGTCACGACGCGTGGATCTTCCACCTCGCTCAAGGCTTCCCAGCCCCGCTTTCCCCGGCTGCGTTGGCAATGGTTGACTTTGGCGAGTTCGCTGAGATGTCCTTTACTCTCTTTTTCTGATTGCGTGGATCTTCCAGCTCGCTCAATGCTTCCCAGCCCCACTTTCCCCGGCTGCGTTGGCAATGATTGACCTCGGCGAGTCGGCTGAGATGTCCTTTATTCTCTTTTTCTGACTCGTTTTCGGGAACCCTAATCACGACTTTCAAGCCAAGCGCTGCAGCTGAGAAAATACTAATCTGCGCGAGGTTTCATTTGCTTTTTTTTTTGGGACCACTTACAGTTTCGTTGCTTCAGAGAGCATGCTGATATTCCATGTCATCCTCCAGACGAAAGACCTGGGAGCGCGTCCCACTTGCCTGCATTCTTCATTCTGGACCCTCGACTTCATAGACCAGCGGCCATACACACGATCTAAGTGTGCAACTACTGCTCCACTAAAAAAAAAAGAGAGAAAACTTGCTCCCCCTGGCGGCCACAGAGCATGAACCGGACTAGCATTTCTGGTCTGAAACATCTGAAAAAAAAACGCCGCGAGTCAGGCTTGTGCTAATTTTTTTAGCAACGTAACAGCCTTTGGGCCGAAAGAGCCGTTGGGGCCGAAAGCCGCAGTCAGACGAGTCTCTTGGGACTGCTACCCCATCCGGGCACACGACTGCTGGATCGGGGCGGACCTTGAAGTGACTGCTACGAGCGAATGACATTGTATAAAAGCGAACGGAACTGCCTTGAACGAGCATTGACTGGCTATACAATGTCAAGCTAACTTAGATAGTTTACCGTGTACGCACTTGCAACCGGTGCTCATTGCTTGCACGCTGATCGCAGAAACGTTGGCGAGTGCGGGTTCGAAGGGAGGAGCAGCGAGGGGCTCTTCGCCGCTTCTTTCGTGTCTTCCTTGGACCTCGGCGCCGTGAAGCGCGGGGAAGCTCATTGATTGACGGGGAGCGGAGGCAGAAGTAGAGGGCAATGGCGGGTCAGGTGGTTCTCTCGGCTGTGCTTCTGATGATCGTTCTTGCAGTTCAGGCAAGTGCGCAGGCTCCGCCGCAGGTGACYATCAGCTATGTCACCTACGCAGGCTCGGGCTGCAATTATGAGAACACCAACTACGTGCTGTCGAACGACTACAAGACGGTCACCTTCATGTTCGGCGGGATGGTTGCGACCACGGACGGGTCGCTCGCGGACAAGMGGAAGCACTGCCAGATGTCTTTCAATCTGGTCTACCCGGATGGCTGGAGCTTCTCCATCGGTCAGGCCACGGGCCGCGGGTTCGCTGACATCGCCAAGGACTCCGCGGGCATCTATGAGTCACACTACTACTTCTCCGGACAAACAGGTACGGCAAGGATCGAGCGCAAAATTGAAGGCCCGAAGGTTGGCAGCTTCGAGTTCACGGACGACTTCCTGACGTTTGTCTGGAGCGAGTGCAACAACGCACCCAACTTGAACATCAAGACGGTGGTGAGAGTCGAGGGCACGAAGGCTGTGATGGCGCTCGACTCCCACGATACCAAGTTCCAGCTCATCTTCAACATYCAATGGAGGMAGTGTCCGCAGAACTGAGAACCCCATTCACCATCTCGCACTGAGGTTGGCAGGTCAGCGGGTGGAGTTGAAGACCGAAGGGGTGGGAGAGGAGGGTGGCGGATTCGTCAGGGCTCACCCTCGGCGGAATTTGAGGGAAAGAGGCTACGGTCGATGCACTAGCGCTTTTTGAGAAGATCCTGCCTACCATTCTTCGGCACTCGTTTGAAGGGACAGCATGGAGAGCATGGAGATGGCCGCGGGTTCGTAGCAGTAGTGAAGGACGAAATAAAATTTTCGGCGCTAGTCTTCTAGGTGAAGAAAAGGTAGATATAGGATGGGAAGCTTTTTGTTACGTCACCAAATGCAATCTTGCTTTTTGTGCTTCAGTACCTTATTTTAATGTCCCGTCACGCTGTGTCCCCTCCTGCCTGGTCCGAAGTGCACTATGGTAAGCGTCGTTTCTCCGTATGTACAGTCGCTAACGGTTGTTTCATCTAGCACGCGGCCAGCGTGATTACCTCTCTCTCTCTCTCTCTCGTTCGTTCGTTCGTTCGTTCTTTCTTTCTTTTGGTGCCTTTCCCTCTTTCTTTGTGGATAACCTAGTTTTCTTCTCTCTTCTTCCCCATGACGCCGGATGAGTACCTCCTCTCATTGGACCCGATAGGGTCATTGTCTTCCATTCGGGGTCGTCTATGTTTGCTAGTCATATATAACCTTTCGTCAGTAGGTATGAAACGAAGAAAGTGGACAGGGGCGGCTGTGCCCAGTTGCTCCGCAACTGATAATTCCCTCAGGAATCTTGTAAGAAGGAAAGGTACGGAGTCTAAATCTCTCCGTGGGACTTACTGCCGTCATGTGAAATCCAGTTCTCGTCTGTCCCATAGGGTGAACTCACTGTGGTCACGTGGTGTACCCTGAAACCACGATTTGGCAGTTAATCCATCATCTGTAGTCGCTTTTTTGAGAGATTCGATTGTTTTCGAACGGGCGATAATATCACGCCTTCCATCTGAAAATAGCTGCCAATGATAACTGTGATCTGATTCAAGAGAATGACGATTTTTTGTGCCAGGCTTACCGCCTGTTCCGTTTGTCCGTTCCGTTTGTCCATTTCACGCCTTCCATCTGATCATGCTAATACAAATCGAATGTGTTGTCGCACAATTTGAGCTTCGGTACTTTGTCCATTTCGATACGAAGCACCGTCCCGTCTGATACATGGCTTTTTCCCGTCTTCTTTTTTGGATGCAAGATGGCTTATTGTTTCAGAAGATTCAGGCATTTCGTCCCTCAGGGACCTCCGTTAGAATTGCAACGATACATAGAAGGTAAGCATGTCCCATGAGCGTGCAAGGGGATGTCATGACACGCATAAATTCAGAAATAGTCAAAAAAGAAAAAAGAAAAAAGAAAAAAAAAAGGAACGGTAGAGATAAGATAAGCATGGCCCCTGCCACCATCTTCGCACTTGAAAAAAAAAAAAAAAAAAAGGGAATCAGGCATTTCTTCTTTCTTCTCCCGTCTCCCATTACCTTTGTGAGGATGGTGACGAATTCAGTCCAAAAGAGGAGGATGAAATCCCTTTTCAATGCTTTGTCTTCCTTGGCGAAGACTGCTTTGAAATGAACATGCCATTGGGATGTTGTGCCGTCAAGTTCGGTTCTTTTTGTGTTTCACCCGGACGGATGCGTTCTTTCAGTCACCTGTCCTCACGGATCGTTCTTTCGGTGCCTTCGGCGAATGTTAGTTAGCTCCGTTCCCCCCCTCCTTTATTCTTTGCTGTTCACTTCACTGGATCTAAAGGAGAAGAAGAGTACAGGCAGCAGTGGTACCCTTCATTTAGAGGGCCCCAAGGTTGAGGGGAATACTAAGCAAGGACCTCCACAACCTTTCACTGAATTCACTGAGCCAATGCAAAAAAAGAGAAAGAGGGGGGCGGAACCTAATCCAGGGGAGGAACACTATGCCCGAGATCGTCTTATCTGCGCATCGAAAATCAATACCTTGTCCTTGGGGATATCCGTTAAAATTGGAACSATACAGAGAAGATTTTTTTTTTTTTTTTTTTTAATATTATTTTAAGGCTAATTCTTTAAGCCCAACCAATTCAATTACATGTCAAATCTGGGCAGGATGGCCTTTCAGGCCTTTTTTATTGTCATTATAGTATTACGGGGAACCCCGTAGCAGCCACATCCGTGCTCAAGCCTCCAACACCCACCAGCAGGTGCTATACCTGCTACAGCAGGTGGGACAGCAGGTGGGAGATACCGGCCAGGGGTCAGCCGGTAGCATCAGGACAGAGCTTCTTCGATGGGCCAGTCACTGTGCCTCCCCTCCGGTCCCCTCCCCCTGTGAACATCAGCATTCTCTGCTCAATGCCACTCGGGGGGACCAACTGCGACCAACTGCATATCTCTAGGTGGCGGGCGCCAAGCTTGCCCTGGAAGGTACATGAGGCCAATGGGGATTGAACCCAAGACCTCCTGAATGCCACTTGCGTGCCTTACCAACTGAGCTAGGCCGCTGGCTGATACAAAGAAGATTAGCATGGCCCCTGCCCAAGGATGACACGCATAAATCGAGAAACGGTCCAAATTTAAAAAAAAAAAAAAAAAAAAAAAAAAAAAAAAAAAAAAAAAAACTTTTGTTGTGTTACAAGAAAGTAAAAAAAAAAAAAGGAGGAAGAAGTAAAGAAACGATGGCATTGAGAACGAATTCCCACGAATGCATCATCTTACTTCAAAAAAAACGAATCATATAATCAATGTGGCTGTGAAGATGGATTACAAATATATGTACTGCCTTTATGGAAAACTACTGTGTCTCGGGCCGAACATCAGAGTCTCGGATCATTCCCACCCAAGGGGTTGAGCCTTTTGGCCTTGGATACGTCTGGATCTGAACCTTACCAGGTCAGGAAAACACCAAAGGAGCTCTACAATGGTCTTAGAGCAACTATGGTCTCTAACCTAGATCTACACTATGGCTGTCACTACTGAACCAGTGGCTGATCAGGAGGCATTTAAGGAGATCCCCCGTAACTCCTCAAGAATTCTTTAACGTCGCAGACAGGATGACGTGATCAGCTTGGTTTTGCCTGTGCTTTCAGCCCACAACTCAGCCTTTCCGGCCTACTGTGCCACACCGAGCAGCCCGCCGGTTTGTACCGGTCCTTGGGAGGGTTCGTATCCCCCGGGACAGTCGAGTCGTCAGACACAGATCATCAGCCTTACTTGGTCTGGTAGGGGAGTGGTTTCAACCAGGGTTGTCAAGCCCCGGCCCCGGGGCCCCGGCGGGGGTCCGGGGGTCCGGGGGTGGGCACCCCCAGCCCCGGCTCCAGACCCCCCCCAAAAAAAAAAAATTCAAAAAAAAAAAAAAAAAATTCAAAAAAAAAATAAAATGGACCCCACCACCCAAAGTCTGGAAAAGGCAGTTTCCGTGGTAAAGCGACGTGGAAGTCCTGGAAGGTTTTGGAAGGTTTCAGAAAAGACGGGACCCCACCGAAGTGCCTCTTTTCCAGACTTTTGGAAGAGTTCTTCCAGACTTTCGGACCAGTTTGGCTGTTTTGTCCGCCGTCGAAGCCCGGGTAGGCCATGGTGGACCTGCGGGGTGGCCACTGACGGGACATGGGTGGCATTGCGTGGCATCTGCGCTGGTGGACCTTCGGCTGGGTAGCACCGTGCGGACACAAAATGGACCTGCGCGATCTTCCAAGTCTGGAAGACGTAGGGGGATGTCCCCCCCCTACCCCTCGCGTTTGCCACAAAATTTCGGCGAGGCTGACGTGGATCGGCCGTTTTCCGCCCGGAAAAGGACTTGGAAACTCGCTCTTCTCTTTTCCAGGCACCACTTTTCCGGGCGGTGGGGTCTGGGAAATAGAAAAAAAAGGACTTCCGGACACTTTTCCAGAGGCTGTGGGGTCCGAGAGAACACCCGGCGGAAGAGTTCTTCCGAGATTTTCCCCTGTGGGGTCCACCTCTTAGTCTATTTGAATTCCAATTTCCATTTTACATCTTCGAAAGAAACAAATATTGATTTTGTCATAAATTCGACAGAACTATTGGCTATGAATCAGATACTTTCTACTTCTGTAATACTTTTTTTATAGCATCCTTAGCAGCATGTAAAAGATTACCATTTGATTTGCCAGAAGCTGAAGAAGAATTAGTAGCAGGTTATCAGACTGAATATTCTGGTATAAAATTTGGGGCAGGAAGAACAGGGGTCAGCAACTTCGGGCCGACGGTAGTTTGAAACAGCCAAAAAAAACAGCGCTAGGCAGGTACATCCGGCCCGAAGTTTGAAATAGCGCCCAGCTATTCGCACACCCCCCTTGGGACGACTCATGGTAAGTTTATACAGACACTGCCTGCGCACCGCCAAAGGGGTCCTCGTCCATGGTTGTTCTATGCTGGAATGGGCTTGGGGGAGGGCTGTTTGGGGTTTGGTTTGCTCGTTGTTCTGATGATCTCATGTCTCTTCTGGTTGTCACTCCATGGGGAGGTAGAGGTGGGGTCTACAGGGCACATATATGACCTTGTGTTGTGCGTTCAGGATTCAGTTGATCTCTTGGGGCAAGGCTATCTTGTCTGTGGAAGTTCTTACCATGGTATCTACTCGCAGATATGGTTGCACCTATAGATGGACCCTACTAGAACAAAAGGGACTGCTCCTAGTAGTATTGTACAATGTACACGGTATTGAATGAGCCTCGAAGAACCCCCATTTGAACCCTGCTCGAATCACTGGCACGTAGTAAGTACTAGACTATTGTAATGACCTGCCAAACATGGACTGAGACACAGCTGATTTCTGAGTTTTGCTCATGGAATGAATGCCGTGCTGAGTTTCCTGCTTTTTGCTGAGTTCTCTAAGTCTGTGTCTGCATGCTGCTGATCTGCATGCCTGTCTGAGTGCTTGTCGGCTTGAGTGTGTGTCTGACCGGCAGGGGCGCTTGTTCGTTCAAAGGGCCCGAAGGGCTGGCACTTTCCTGTGGCCGTGACATTGAGGGTTGGAGCAGGGAAAATAATCAAGTGGCAGGGAAAGTGGCCCACGACACTTGAAGCAGCCGAAAACACTCAAGTAGGAGGTAGGCCGGTACCACACCAGGTAGAGGTAGATGTGCCGGGTACTCCAGGCCGAGCAGAAGAAGACAAAAGTTGGCAGAGGCCGAGTAGATGTAGGCTAGGTCTAGGCGGGTACCCGTCCAACCAGTCTGAGTCGAGGGCCTGTACGGGCAACATCAGAGTCTGCAATGATGTTTCCCTCCGAACGGAGGAGGTACCCGTTGCTTGGAGGCTG